TAGAGAGAGAGAGAGAGAGAGAGATGGTGGAACCCTGCAGTGGAGTTTCCACCACAGGGTTGCATGATCCTCCAATTGAAAATCGACCATGGGGTCCAAGCAAAGAGGAAAAAAAGGAGAGGAAGTGAAGAAAAAGAGAAAGAAGAAGAGAGCAGAGGGTGTAAAGGCTGGCGCCCGACACCCCATAACTCTTGCGTGGGTGACTGGCACACACATTCAGAAACCCGAACCTCCCTCTCTCCCTCCAACTAGCATCTAGGGCTGAGTCTAATGGATCTACTGGACCTACAGGACGGGCCTATGGACCTACAACCCTACGGACAGGATGCATAACTACCTTAGGGACCTGACGAACAAGCTGGTGGAGAAAAGCAGGGGGACAGTGCCGCCTAGCTAGAATAGGCAGCCCTTTTTAGTAGAGGCAAGGGGGTGGCCACGGCCGTGGCACAGGGAGCCTGGATCAGCCAGGCACTTAGGAGCTTGGGCAAGCTGCTAAACGGGGAGTAGGCTAAACAGCAGAGAGGGATCAGTGGGGATTAGAAGGGAGAGTAGAGTGGGAGTTCTGGGAGTAGGATCATAGGCAGTGGGATACGGATGTGAGTGATCAGCTGCAAAGGGCTGTCTGCAGCTCTCGCTTTTGCCTCGTCCTGCGATCTGTCCCTTTACGGAAATCAGCGAAAAAAGCAGTATCCCAACATCTACCTAAGCCTAGTCATAGCTCGACTAAGCATGACATGTGCTAAGTGTGAGGGATTGACACTAAGCAGCACTAAGTGTGGCTAAGCACAAAGGAGCAAAGCTAAAGGTGTGCAAGGCTAATGTTGAGATGAAGGGGACGTAAACCCACCTAGAGGGGCAGTTGGGGATCCAATTTTGGGTACGTCTGAATCTGAGCTAAGGTTAGGGCAAGGGATCACAAAAGCGTTCAAGGCTACCCTTGAGATGAATGGGATTTAAACCCACCCAGAGGGGAATTGGGGATCCAATCTGGGTAGGTCTGAATACGCTAAAGTTATCGGCCTGGGTCTAAATCTAGGGATTGGCCTGGTCTAGGGGCTAAGGAAGGTATCGCAGAAACTAGGGATAGGACTGATCTCTAAACCATAGCCCTAACCCTGGCCTTGGGAATGGAGGTTGACCCTTAGCCCCACCGTGGGGAAGGACCCAGACCCCCAACCCTACCTTAGGATGAATCTAGACTCAGATTGAACCTACAATTAGCCTAAGGGTGATCCTAGGATCATGGTTATGCAATCAGACTCGCTTTCAAACACACTTTTCACACATGTAAACAGTACGCAGCACACTGGCGACATGCGCCCACTCAAAACTCAGAGATATGGCTTCAGATACGAGTTCACTCTCAAATGGCTATGGCGACTTCAGCGCCCAAACATCTCACTGTTCACATGCACTGGATCACCCTGGATATCCCACACGCATCACTCTAACAC